CAACCACTTAAGATTAGTTTGATACTTAACAATGGATATAAATCGGTGGATAATAATAATTTTGTTATGACAAAATAGACATTCTAATTACCTCTAATACCATAACGGTTAGCTCATAAGTTGAAAATTTACGCTAAAGACGAATTTTCTTAAAATGATTCAGGCATATTTCCTAAAATTGTACATTCCTTAAACACGTAAAACAAAATTATTAGAAAATGACCTAGTTTTCGGTTATATTGATTTGACTTCTTAGAATGGGTAAGTAGAACGTATTATTATCTGAAAATTTAACTGAAGGAAATGATTTAATTGAAAAAAATGTACGGGGTTAAAAAACAATTGTATGAGCCAAAATTCAAAAACAAAAACAATTGAATGCTGAATTTTCGATGTATTTATTAAACCTGTTTTCCTTAAATAAAACGACTAATTCATTTTATATAATATTTAGATAGAAGGCTCTCTTAGGATTGGAATGATATAAGATGGGATAGATCTCTCTAATAATAAGGAAAATGGCCAAACGAGTGAGTATGTTACGAGTATAATTTTGGCCATATCTCTCTTATTAGAGATAGACCTGCCTATCTTATATCATCATAATGTTAAGGAAGCATATATATACAAACATACAGTGTGTTTTGCCAAAAAGATTTATAAGTTTGGCCTGTATCTCCAAAATGCAAAATTCAATTGTTTCAATTCAATTCAATTCAATTAAAAAAAATTATGATTTTTTCATCACATTTCTCAATTTTACCGCCAAACCACGATGGCATTTTTAAGTTGCTAAAGATGCAGATTCCCCGCCACTTTTATTTTCAATTTTTTTACATTCATACAGAATGCCATGTCGTTTTAGTCGGATCAAAAATGGCGGAGTTATAGCTTGCAGTATTTTTACAACACCCGATACCAATAATGACGTATCGAATTTGAGACACGCGGTATACTGTAATTATTTTCTAATTATATCAAATTTCCTAACACCTACTAATAATACGGTTTTATTTATTTGTTACAAAAGAGAAATTAACACTTTTTAGAAGCCTTTATGCGTAATCGAGTGTTTTTTGCTTGCAAAACACTAGTATAAAAGCAACTAATTATATCAACATTATAAAATCATAATTGTGTAAAACCTGCGTGGTCATAAACGCCTTTAAAATAATGAATTCATTTATAAAATTGCCGGGGAGGTTGCCACACCTATCTAAACAATTATACACGCAACGCCGTTGGTAGAAATTAATCGATAATATCTAATTAAATTTATGGAATGCACGAATAAATAACGCACAGTGGCTTCTTTGGTAAAATATGTCGGTTTCTATATTTAATTACATCATATCTAATCGACGGAAGAACAGGCATTTAAAACGGATTTAAATAGCTCCTCGAGGTGGTCTGTTATATTTTTAATGTGCTGCTCGCGAAGGGGTGGTAGAGAACAGCTCACACGGAGAAAACGGTATCCTGTTCTCAATGACATAACCTTTTAAGCCAACACTGCGCTCTATTCTGCATTACCAAACATAGTTATAATTATTATAAATATAGGAGTTAAACTAATTATTTCACTGAATAAAATATAAACTCATTTACGTACGATGATTTAATGGTAAAAAGTACTTGGTGACATGATACTGTATGATTGGTTTTCTTTTGAGGGTTAACTTTTTTTTTTGGCTGTCATTAATATTAGTAGATAGACTATGCCGATTCTAGACCAATTTGCATTGCCTGGGGCCGGACTCTCAATACCATTAAAATCTATTTTGGTCCTAATGGAACCGCGTTGGAACCTTCACTTTGCGACTAATGGACCCAGGGTGAACCCAAAAAAAATACTTGAGGCCCAAATTTTGACAACCACACCCAACTGAAAACTTGAATATGCAATTGGTCTAGAATCAGCAATGCTTATCTACTCATGTCTTCATCCTGTTGGTGATTTCTAAGGCAATTGCACGACTGTTATTACACATTTTTAAGTATTTTTTGAGCCGTAGAAAATTTAACTGTGCGCCTATGGACGTTCCGGGTACTTATGATAAATATCTATGAAATTGAGATAAATAGTTCCGATGACGTCACAACTTTTAAGTTAAGTGCCCATAATATCATGCCATAACGATGCGCACTTGTGGTTTCCTATTCGCTCTTTCCGTTTTCCGTCAGTTCTGTGTCACCCTGTACATGGGTGTATGTGTACTTATGTTGTTGCTATGGATACATGTGGACACCAATCTTGCTGATTGCATTTATATAACATTTCTATAGTGTGAATGAATTGACGTCATTTACACAATTTAACTACCGTTATTGATTTATATTAACGACGTTTCCCAACGTTGTCAGATGGTAACCGCGAGTTTCTGAATTGTACTTTACATTTCCAAACAATTCTTTACTACTACACTAATTTCAGTTGTGAAACGCTTAAATAGTCGCAAAGGGAATATTTAAATGAATCCATAAAAACTTTATTAATGTTTTGTGGATGCCACTGGCAATCTACGAAGGTTATCCTAAAAAACCAATGATTTTTTTGACGGACATTTTTTGCCATAAATATGGCGACCTTAAGCTGTGCCCTATTGTTGAAGAAGCGCCCTGTATAAATTGTTCGCAATTTTAGTAATACATGTAAAACTAAACTAGAGACTACATTTATCGTACCGAAACAAAAAAGTAACTTTCCAGTCATCCAGATTTCCTAAAGACAAAACTATACAACTTTGGAAGGAAGGAGAAATTTAATTAAATTAGATAGACGCAACAGTACGAACTCAATCTGTTCAAGTTTCCACTGCATCTCTGAGAAAATGAATCGGTTTTCCGATACCTTTGATTACAAATTCCTCGTACTGCTTTGTTTTGTTCAACTACGAATCGATACGCCACTGTCTAGCTTTCTATAAACCCCTGTTTACCATTAAATTAACCTTAAAAGCACGACTTTATATTAAGGAATGACATCACCGCAATATTGGGAATTAAAATGAAGTATAACAGCTAGAAATTAGATACTATAAAAGGTAGGTAATTTTAAAACAGGGTAGAAATTACTGTAATAAAGGGTTCGTGGAAGTATACGTCCAAGAAATGGATTATTTTATGTTTGAAAATAACATTGGAATTATTCCACTTTTGTGATAATACCGTATAATAAAAAGGTCATCGATTAAAGCATTAACTACACATTAAGTGATACGGACAAATATCTTAAGCTATAAACAGAAGGAGTTTACCAATTAATCTTAACTTATGACACAAGAATAAAGAACACGTTATTTTTGCAAAAGTAGTCATTAGGATTGTGGGGGCGGAGGGGTTAGGCTTTTAACTTAATTATATTGAAGTGTTAAAAACAATGCTAAATTTAACACAACCAATGTGTATACAGAATATCCCTCAAGTTAATGGATATCGCTACTGTCGTTTCTGATATTGATATTGGTGTAAAAATTAGTAACTGTATATCAGTAGCGGCTCTTGACTTCCATACCAGGGAAGGCGCAAAAGTTTAGGTACAGAGTATTGAAAAAATATATATAACTGGGTAGTTTGTACTATTAAAATAAAAGTGCTCAACATTATTTTTTATAGTGAGCTTTTGTCCGAAATAAACTTACTTAATACTTAAAGTATGTAAAACTTGGAATTTTCTTATAAACGATCAATAAAAAAACATTTCCCTTCTAGCGTACACTTTAACGGTGACAATTTGAAAATTGTGGTACAGTTAATCAATGGACCGTTTGATTAATAAATAACAGGTCAAGGTACCTAAATTATTACACAAAAAAGTGTAAAAAGCTATTTTAATCTATTACAGAACAAAAACTAGCTAGTTTTATTGCCCATCGACAAAATCATATTCATTTTAACTTCGTTTTAGCTCTTAATAAAATTATTTCTTTTTTTACATTATATGCAGTGTTTTTCACACTCAGTGGATATTAGATATTTTTCACGTGCTTTCGAGAATGATTGATGAGTATGTTTACCCATTTCTGGGATCGCCTGAACTGTGCCATGTTTACAATATACAGCGTGTTATTAATTAGATCGTAAAGGATTCTACAACGCCTTTTTTACATTCTGTACGGTTCTTTATAAACAAAAATAAGTAGAATTAAATTTTCTAAGGTTAAGATATATCTTTTTGTTAAATTTATTGTAGGTACTTAGCTTGTTATAATTAGTTTTATTTTAATGGGGTTTTAATGTTAAATTTAACTTTTAAGCTTTCTTTGGCATTAGAAATATTCTTTTTTCAAGTTGTACTTAAAAATGTTTCCAAAACACGAAAATGTACTTTCGCGAGAGTGAAAAACACTTCAAATTATATATTTTAATAGACAGCCATATTTAATTTAAAAAGTAAGTCAATGACGGTAAATCGAAAACGGAATATCGAAAAGCTGACGTTTCCTTCAAAAAGGACATGAAAATTTGTTATGAACTAGAAAATCGAAAAATGCTGTTTTCCTAAAATATCAATCAACGACAGAGATCGTCAACAATCAAACAGAGAGGGAGATGACGCTTGGTTATGTAACTGTTTTTTCCTATTTCATCTAAAAGGTTCGAGTTGAAGAGCTATGTGTAACACCGACAACAACAGAATGAAGTGACAGACAAATTATATTACATGTAAATACCACAGCGAAGTCAGCGGTCCTTAACAAGTTTTTCCTTAAAAATATCATGCACGTTTATATTAAATTTGACTTTTCGTTCCTGTTTTGTTCGCAAAAAACTATTACTTAGTTATGTTCTGCACTATATGTATCCATTTAAGATTCACTATGTACAGTAGATTCTTTTTATCTATCTTTTACAGTGGTAGCAAACACTTATCAAAATCGTCCAAAATATAACAAATCTTCAGCATACACCAAATTTTTAACGTATTTGACAAATATAACTTCTCATTTTTACACCGTTGACACCCCAAGGTAAATGCTATAGCGATTAAAACTACTTACCTGTTTGACCGTAAGCGAAAATACAGGCGTTGTATCCCTGGAAGGCATTATCGAGAATATCTCGTCCCAAACAATCAAAAACAACTTCTTGAGATACAAAGTTTTCATTATTTGGGTCCACAGAACAAAAACAATGGTCGAACGCGAAAGTTTTGGGCTGTTTCCTAAAACAAACAAATACTTTAAAAGGTGCGTCAGATTTAGGATTATTTTTAAATCTCGGATCAGACGTTAAATGTGAATCACCCTGTACAACAGAGAAGAATTTTCAAGAATCACCCTGTACAACAGAGAATAATTTTCAATTGTAGATTAAATTAGTTAATCTTAAACAGTTAAATATTAAAATATTATTGTCAGTAGAGCCTTATTGCTGTATTTGAAAAAAAAAAAAAAATCAGTTCGGCCATTGGCGTACCGCCCTAAATTAATCTTGCTCACACAAATGTTATTTATTCCTAAAGTGTTATATCATGTTTATAACATTACTGTGGTTGTGTTTTATTACCGAATGATGGAAAATATTCCCGAACCTTCTTCCCTTAAAAAGAAAAAAAAAATGGTCTAGATCAGTTGGTAAGAAAAATATATTGCAAATTGCAAGGATCTATAAAATCTTGAAAGAACAAAACACATGGAGAAGTACAAAAGCCAAAAACAAGCAGCGGTCGAGGAAAAGTAGGATGAGAACGCAAAACATATATAACGACAATCAGATCGCAGCTTTTTTAAAAACATGATTTGCCAACATTGGGACCAATAAGTCTAATTTCACCCCCCTACCTTCCACGGTTGTCCCCTTAAAACTTAAAAATTAGGTTAAAAAAATAAGTTAAAGCACTCGTGTGTAAAGTAGAGTTATCCCTCATGAAACAAAATATTCCCACTCGTGATAAAAATGTTACTTTACCCGATTGTTTGCATAAATAATTACTGCCAAATATGAAAATATTACTCAATTATTATTTTATTTGCAAGAGCCACCATTGTAAGGCCATAATGACAAGTAAACAGCATGACATTTGTGAAATATCGACGGTTACAAACTTTGATTCGCCAGCACGATACTGTCATTGACTTTGGACGAGGGTCAACAGATTGAATCAATCCATACGAATTCTATAAGGCTTTCGACAGAAGTCACACTTAATGAATTGATAATCTCTTTTATATTGATTTTCCAACTTATCAAGTTAACTAGTTCTTTGGGAATGAAATTGAAACAAAGTTGCGATTATATCAAACGCAGCTATTACTATTTGGCAAATAAATCCCCATATTTTATGAAGAATCAAAGTATTATTAATTATGGCAGATTATAATAAGGCCAGAAATTTGTAGTATTTCTTGTTTATAAAATCATATAAAAAAAACCCACTTGGTTTTAATTTGCAGTGGTTTTACTTATATACAGGGTGATCTAAATTTGATTATTACTACAGGGATCTCAGGAACTATTAGAGATACTGAATAGTTTATATGAATTAAGTAATGCTTAACAACATTCCACCAAAGAAAATACAGCCTTTTCGTTTGAATTTTATAAAAAAAAAAGTAGAACCATTCTGATGTAGATTTGTGTGTTATTTTCACTGGCGTTAATTTCTTTTTTTTTAATCAACATCTTCGAGAATATAACTTAATTTTTCCATATGGATACCATAAGAAATAATTTTCATTTAAAGAAAAGAATTTTTTCAACTACACTGAGAAGTTTTGAATTTTTTCTTAATAAAATCCCAATGAACGAAAAAATTGTTTTCTGTGATATGACAATTTTAACATATTAAATTCTGTACAACTCTGTTTGTTTAAACTTGTCCTAACAATATGCATGTCCAAAAAAAAACTGAAATGCGAATATTAACAACATAAACTAATTCTTAGCGACGATCAACCAGCAAACAAACCATAAAAGTGGTATAGTCTTTCCGAAGTCAGTTAAACATGTATAAAAACGCCTAGCAATAAAATTTAATGGGTTTCATAGGCGTCCCTAAAACAGTTTTCTGCTAAAGGTAAAAAATTATAATAATTTGTATTGTATATTGTGTAGAAAATTTCTATTATATGTTCATTTGGCCAACAACATATTTTAATTATTTATGTCCTCAAACAATTTTTTTATTATATTGATGGTAAATTTCGTTTTGTTCCGTTTCAAAAGATCTTCAAAATGTCATGTTGTAATAATATTATTTCTCCCTTTCGCAATTGTAATATCAATGATTAATAGAAGGTGCCTATAATAAATTAAAATGACCTGAATCACATTAAATTCCTTATTGCTGCACTGGACTGCTAGGCAATCTGTCAACCACTGTCAACAACTGAGATTTATTGCCCAGTCGCCCAGTGCAGCTGTGTTATACGCCGTTTGCCCCCGCGCGCATTCCTCAACTGGGCGTATACATTTCTACCACCTACAGGTTTAGTTCAATCAAACCTGTATATGGGTATGACTAAATAAATATGAGAACAAGTTTTTCAAATATTTCAATGCCGAGTTGCTCCGTCTGCGACTAAACCTGGTACATACTGCCAACCTCTTGGTTCATCAATTGAGATCGGAAAGACTTATACAAATAATATTAGTGACGTCCAGTGACAGCCCACAAAAAAAAAAGTTCTGTATCAACCTCATTTATACATATATGTGGTAATATAAAATACAAGGCTATAGTTTTTCACATTGATTTGCACTAGCACTCGTTCGACAACGATACAATGTCTCCTTAGAGTTAGATGTCAAATTTGACTGACAATCAGACAATCCGCATAAAAGTTATACGGGGAATGTCACTGTATACAATGTGATATAAAATATTTTGGATGAGAAAATGCCCTAGTTCATTTCAACAGTAAAGTAGGGTTGTAAATATTAATGGACGTCATTGTGCGTCGTTTGAGAACTGTAAAATATAATAAATCTGACTTTGTCAACAAATTTGGTCTTAATGGTTGAAAATTATTGGGTAGCAAGTAATAAAACTTTGATGTCTCCAAAGAAATAGGCAATAAAAATAAATCTTGACCTTATAAAAAGTTTTGCTCGGACAAAACCGGCCGACTAATACTATTTTTCACAAACTTGGTTATATTAGTTTCAGTCAACTCGACCAGAAAATTAGTCACCACAAAAACACCTGGGAGTTACGAGGTTGTTAGAGTAATAAATTATCAAAGGTTTTTTAATTTGTGGATTTAAACAACAGCTGTGTTTTAACTTCGGTACTAGCGATAGTCGAAACTTCTTTCATAATTTACCATTCTTTCGATTTTCAAGGCAGCGCGTATAAGGAAGAGACATTTATTTAGGGGAATTAACTACCAGCGTCTAACTGACACCAGTTCTGTTTCTATTTATCTGGATAATGAGATAATGCTTTGAACCAACACATCGAGGAATAGATAGAAAATGTCATTCTAATCAAAAAGATTCCTACTAACACGGATCCGAAACACTTAATAAAAAAGTTATACGATGACAAATAAATATCCACTGCCATAAAAACACTTTCTTTATTATATGACTAAATTTTAAAGTACTATCCGAAGATTTCCGCAGAAAAATGGAACATACGTATTACAAAGCTCAAATACTTTTAGAAAGTTGTATCATTTTTAAGAAATGAAAGTAACATTTTCTTTGCCAGTTTTAACAAATATTGATTATTGATTAAGTAAATGATGATGAAAATATAAATATCAGCTCTTTTAGAACATTTTTTAAGAAAATTCTTGAAATCCAATGTATCCTACTTAAAAAATTTGACTTGTTCAATGACAAAAAAAGTAATGCCAATAAAAATGTACACAAAAGTTTCAGTGCCGTTTGTCCACTTTTAAAATTATTACTTAGTTACATTTAAAAAAAATATTGCTAATATATACCTCAAATTTATCGGAATTATGAAAAAATTATGTTAAAGGATTTTCTGATACAAGTTAATCAATATAAAATATTTTAACAGAATTTACTGGGTTAGGAAAAAACACTGTGATTTTCTCATCCTTTTGCTCAATTAGTCATTTGACATATTCTTTAAAGATGCCGATTTTTCATAGCAGTAGGTACACAAAACATGTATGTATATATATATAAATACATAGCTACCTAACTAAAATAATATGTGCGATTTAAATGGGTCAAACGTCTCGTCGGCATGTTGTTCGTCGCTCCAACTGACCTTAAATAATTCTATAATCAATTTTCTTATCTCACACTTTACTCTATACTTTCGATTCGCTGTCATTTAATTTTGTCACCTTATCAGTTTCACAGTTTCCTAGTCAAGTGTACTTCTGCTTCCGTTGTAGTTTTTTTCGGGTATTTCGGTCATTCATAGAACGAATTTCACAAATAGGTGGTCATAGACTGTTATTTGAATTAATCGCAAGAGTCAGAATACATAAAAATTAATAACTATATGTATATAACATGAACTATAAAATTTATATTTAGTGAATGGTAGGTATATATTTTTTAGAAACTATTTGCGCTAAACATATACCAGACGTCATACATATTTAATTCGCAAACATGTAGTAAATAGAATAAATCAAAACAATTCGTTTTATTTTATGAAAGTAATAACAAAATTCCCTTTCCGGTTTGAAGAGTTGAGTGGTGACTCAATCACTTTCTAGATTGTTTAAATATTAATAAACATCTTTTTTATATTTGTTGCCTCCCCTCCAGCTTAACTGCTTTTGATCTTTTACCTTTTTTGGAATTCTGACATCCAGAGAGTGGTGGATGCCAGTCATGTATGCTGAAAATAAGTTAATTCACCACTCTTTTGAAACGACATTTTATTTACACCGTAATTCATTAAAATTATTGATCAAATACACTTAAAGCTACTTAAAGGAAAAACACCGTTCGTGAAAATAACGAATCGTCACAAATACGTCAACTCGTCACCCTCATGTTTCAGAGAGGTCATAACCCAACATGGTTTTGGAAGCCCCCTTAGACGGAACACCCGCTTACCAATGACGCCAGACCGAAAGTCCACTTTGTGACCGAACGTCTACCCTGGGGATTTGCATTACTTTAAGCAGGAGACAGATGCCTGCCCAGAGTGTGTACTAGCCATTGAACTTTTTATAGCATTTATGCTCATTCCACTTTCCACTAAAATTTTCCATAATTTTATTT